AAGTAGGTACCAGGGTTCAAGTAGCATTAGGGGCTACACAGTTCCCATGAAGTAGGTACCAGGGTTCAAGTAGCATTAGGGGCTACACAGTTCCCATGAAGTAGGTACCAGGGTTCAAGTAGCAGCAGGGGCGATGCTAAGGAATTTATACTATGTAATATTCGCGTGCAGGTATTTCCAGGAGGGACAATTATGGAGGATAATGACTTAATAACAGTGTGGCGTGCCCCTCTCACACTCTTTCCTTCTTTATTGCTCCCAGATTCTGAGATGAAAATTCTTGACCTTGGTGTGGGATGATTACACCGCCGTCCCATGACTACACTGCTTTGTTTGTGGCAATATTATTGAATTTTTTTTCTCTTTCTGATCCTTTGATGATTAATGGAACTTCTTATAATTGAACCTCACAGCGGAGATTTTGATGGCCGAGCTTCATGACGGATTCTTTCATAACTAAACAAATTTAGTTTTCTTACGCAGCTGAAAGAATAAAATTAAAACTATTATTTTATCTGGGCTCATTCCAGGTCATCTTATTTAAGGCTTTGTGTTTCTTACCTGAAGTGTGACCCATAACAGTCGACTAACACACAGGTTCCTATTTATTGTTAGATGAACAAGGTAAGTGCTGCAGACCTGTCTATATGTTTTGCCCTGTCTGGGAATCGAACCAAGATCTATTCGATTGTAAGCCGAACCCTTTCACAGCGACTTTTAAATGAGCTTTACATGACAGTTTATGATACAATAGTTTTTATAGCCATTTAATTACAAACTCACGAAGGCTTTTTTGCCGTGGTTGCTCCGCCTCTCCACTGGGACGATCATCATCGGTACCATAGGCAGGGAAATAGATGTGATGGAAATGGTTTGGAGAACCTACTAGTCGAAGAATGAGTCGCTTGCACAATATTTGGGAAACTTTACTGTGGAAAAGTTTCGCCAGCCAGTAGCTTCATCAGTCCAATACAGAGAAGAACCATCTAAGATGAAAAGTTTGATGTAATCAGGAAAGTATTTAGGTAGGTGGGTAGGCAGGCTTCAGGATCACTAACTAAACCTTCTGATGGATCACCAGATGTCTAAACCCTCTGAAATATTTTGACAATTCAGTCTCATTGTGTTTATGACTGACTACTGGTAGACGCACTGGAGTTGCCCTTCCCCTCCACGAATCAAACCTGTTTACCTCCTCTTTTCCAGGCGCCGTATAAACACTACCAGTTTAGTACTGCCCACAGTATTTAATAACAACATTTATAAGTGCTGCGACGATCGTTTTTAATGGCTCTTATGATATCTAAACCTTCTGTTAGAACTTTCATTATTAAAACTCTTTGGGTTTAATTTCCTGATGGGGTTTTGGATGGTTGCCGTGATTGATTGTTTTTGGTAATGGAATTTTCTGTTTGGTCATTGGTTTACTGATTTTTTTGATGGCTTAATTTTTTAAAGGATTTTCCGGTAACTGCACCTCTTACAGGATCATCCAGTGACTGAACCTCTTACAGGATCATCCAGTGACTAAACCTCTTACAGGATCTCCCAGTGGCTGAACCTCTTACAGGATCTTCCAGTGGCTGAACCTCTTACAGGATCTTCCAGTGACTGAACCTCTTACAGGATCTTCCAGTGACTGAACCTCTTACAGGATCTTCCAGTGACTGAACCTCTTACAGGATCATCCAGTGACTGAACCTCTTACAGGATCTTCCAGTGACTGAACCTCTTACAGGATCTTCCAGTGGCTGAACCTCTTACAGGATCATCCAGTGACTGAACCTCTTACAGGATCTTCCAGTGACTGAACCTCTTACAGGATCTTCCAGTGGCTGAACCTCTTACAGGATCTTCCAGTGACTGAACCTCTTACAGGATCTTCCAGTGACTGAACCTCTTACAGGATCTTCCAGTGACTGAACCTCTTACAGGATCATCCAGTGACTGAACCTCTTACAGGATCTTCCAGTGACTGAACCTCTTACAGGATCTTTCAGTGACTGAACCTCTTACAGGATCTTCCAGTGACTGAACCTCTTACAGGATCTTCCAGTGACTGAACCTCTTACAGGATCTTCCAGTGGCTGAACCTCTTACAGGATCTTCCAGTGACTGAACCTCTTACAGGTTCCTACAGTGACCGAACCTCTTACAGGATCTTCCAGTGACTGAACCTCTTACAGGATCCTTCTGTGACTGAACCTCTTACAGGATCTTCCAGTGACTGAACCTCTTACAGGATCTTCCAGTGACTGAACCTCTTACAGGATCTTCCAGTGACTGAACCTCTTACAGGTTCCTCCAGTGACTAAACCTCTTACAGGATCCTCCAGTGATTGAACCTCTTACAGGATCTTCCGATGACTGCACCTCTCAAAGGCTCTTCAAATGACAAAAGATGTTAAAGGATCTATTAGTGACTGGGAATAATCCGGTGTTCCACCTGAAGATTTGAGGTTCTGAAGAATTATGCGATCCTTCTGAAAATTTTAATTTGCAGAGGGAATTAGTTTGTTGAATCGAATTACTCTTATTGTTCCGAGAGCGCAAACACACACACACACACACACACACACACACACACACACACACACAAAACACACACAAGTAACGCTTCAAGTGGCTCAGTTACTTAATAGTTCACTGCTCCACTACTCATTGTCCGCCCAATTAAAATTCAATAAATCTGTATGCTCTGACGATTATAGCTGATAACAATGGCACACCAATTACCAGTGTTGTGGTGGTGGCTATTGTTGTGGACACTTTTTGGGGGGCTGGTTTCGTCGCGATATGAGTTGTTGTGGTTGTTTCTGCCGTCGTTGTTACGATTTTGTTGCTTGTTGTAGTTGTTCTTTGGTTGTATTTTTTTGTAGTAGGCATTTTTTTTTGTCGTACCAGGCATGATTTTTTGTGATCATGTTTGCTGTGGTAAATATGTGTATTGTGATTTTTGATGATTTTTTTGTGTATATTGTGTTTTTTTGTCATTTAAGCTTCAAAAATTTCCAGATTTGGACCAAAGTGCTGACTGCCCATTATGAGTTCAACACTTTCATTGATAATAATAATAATAATAATAATAATATAATAATAATAATAATAAAGTAGTAAATAATTGTGGTAGGTAATGACTCTCCCACCTGTGGACACAACCAGCCGCTGGTAGTACCGTAAGGTTGTCCATTATCAGCAGGTAGAATAATCAACCAAGGTTGAGGGACTGACCACCTTAATGTTACTTCTTCAAGACTGAGGGACCGATCACCTCAATACCTCTATTACTTCAAGGCCGAGAGACTGACTGTCTCATATTTACCTCTCTGCTGCTTTTGCCGTCTGCAGTATTCAAGTTAATATTTGACCGAGGAAGCCTGCCGAGCAGGCGAAACGTTTCAACAAAAACTGATACCCAATTATTTGCACCTGTGTCTTACTCATGTCATTAATATAATCAAAACAATCCTAATTTATTTTAGGGTCGCTTGCCCTAAGGTAGGCAACACAAATCAATAAAAAAATATATATATAACCACAAACAAGCCAAAGAAAAAAAAACGGCAGCTATATGACTGGCCAGAAAGCGTTTTAATCTGAACGTTTAACAGTCGCTGTGTTGGGATGGGCTGATTTGCAGTAGCCAGGCACGCAAGTCTCTGAGGACACGCTGCGTCATGGCCTCCTCTCACCTCTCCCGCTTTTATATTGTATCGATAAATCCCCGCAAATGCAGAGAAATCGTTCGCGTTATATCATCTTTATTTTTGCAAGTACACGTACATGGTATACAGACCATAGCTGACATCAATGACAGACTACTGTATAGAAAGTTGCTTGGTATTACCTGGAGTTTACCTGGAGAGAGTTCCGGGGGTCAACGCCCCCGCGGCCCGGTCTGTGACCAGGCCTCCTGGTGGATCAGAGCCTGATCAACCAGGCTGTTACTGCTGGCTGCACGCAATCCAACGTACGCAGAGCATTTCTGGCAAATTAGGTCAGTTTTGTCCCAGGACGCGATCCATACCAGTCACTAATACCCAAGTACCCATTATTACTGATGGGTAAACATGGACAACCGGTGCAAGGAAACACGCCCAATGTTTCCAGCCCTTTGCCGAGAATCGAACCCAGACCCCTCACCGTGTGAAGGGAGAGCTTTGCCACCACGCCACGGGCCACGGGGCACCGTTAGTATAATATCCTTGGACCAGGGTTTTGCAGCGTGTTCTTAAGGCAAGGTGAACTGACCCAACTCTCCTGATTTCGCCCACTGCGGAGAATTTTCTGTGACTGAATTAAAAAGTTTTGTATAGTTTTAATGTATCTATAAATGTGATTAAGAGAGAGAGAGTAACTGTGTTTTTCTCACCTCTTGGTAATTACAGGAACAGTGCTGTGATTGTGGTGTCCCGTCCTCACTGTTGGTAGTAGAAAGTGTGTGTGTGTGAGAGGGAAAGAGAGAGACAGAGAGAGAGAGAGTATCAATACTATGCTTTGAAGACTGTCCACACCACTAGAATTATGAGAGAGAACAGTGTAAGAATGGTACTCTAGTCTAGGCTGTCATCTGAATGTTCCCGCCTCACATTCCAGTGTGAGGTCGTCAGGAAAAATGAATGTGTAGGTTTTATAGTGAGTTTCAGGCAGCCGTCACAAAATGTGCAACATCATATATACCCATACTAGCCGAGGCCTTCGTTAGTTACCAAAAATCTATATAACAATAATAATAATATCAATAATAATAATAATAATAATAATATTATTATTATTATTATTATTATTATTATTATTATTATTATTTGTAAACTCAATAATTTATTTTTTTTTTCAGTTTTTACTTGTTTCTTGCTTCCTGTTTTAGACCATTAAGTCAGTTTTCTTGGCTGGTTCATGGAATTCGCTAAACCTGTGTGGGACACAGCTGAAAGGATGGTGCAAACTTGATATTCTGTCTGGTTGATTATCAGAACTAACCTTGCATCTTCGTCTTTCAGGTCTGGCCATTGAGAAGTTGTGCGAGACGGCGGAGGCCAACTTGGTGGAGCCTGGGGTGGGGGTGGGCGGCGTGGGCGGCGGTAGTCGACCAGAATACCGGGCGTCGATGATCCGTGCCGCCCGAGGCCTCCTTTCTTCCGTCACCCGCGTCCTCCTGCTGGCTGACACCGTGGTGGTCAAGCAACTCCTCCTCGCCAAGGATAAGGTCGGTAAAGTCACCGCTGGAGGTACTGTCTTCCATAGGTTAGGTTAGGTAAGTGTTTCCTGACTCGTGTCATACGATGAACCAGCCGCTGGAGCTTTTAGTCATCTGACCGAGGTCTTCTGCTGGCTTACCGGTCCACCCCTTTAAAAATTATGGTTATTTGTGTCTTCCATAGAAGCGTTAAACCCCTGTGGGTTATCCAGCGACTTGCAGAATGGAGGGAAGAGGCAATCTGTTTTCATCTAAAGAAAAGGAGTGCGGCTACAATTTCCATAGATCAAAAAGCCTTTGCCAGAATTAAACCTTGTTCACTACCTACCACAAGACGAAGTTCGTGAAGCCAGAAGACTTTTGCATTCTGCCCATGGCGGTGAGTTAACACACACACACACACACACACACACACACACACACACACACACACACACACACACACACACACACACACACACACACACACACACACACACACATGATCGCTGACCCCTTGGAGCCAGCGATCATGTGATTTTAAGCTTCGAATACACAGTAGAGCTACAAGTGGAGGGGGAAGCAGGAAGGCCAGGACGAATGAAGCCAAACTACAAGAAAGGGGAATACACAGGAATGAGGAACTTACTGAATGGGGTTCAGTGGGACAGAGAACTGGCAGGGAAGCCAGTTAATGAGATGATGGAATATGTAGCAACATTGTGCAAGGAGGCTGAGGAGAGGTTTGTACCCAAGGGTAACAGGAATAATGAAAAAGCCAGGATGAGCCCATGGTTCACCCAAAGGTGCAGGGAGGCAAAAACCAGGTGTGCTAGGGAATGGAAGAAATATAAAAGGCAAAGGACCCAGGAGAATAAGGAGAGCAGTCGTAGAGCCAGAAATGAATATGCACAGATAAGAAGGGAGGCCCAACGACAATATGAAAACGACATAGCAGCGAAAGCCAAATCTGACCCGAAACTGTTATACAGCCACATCAGGAGGAAAACAACAGTCAAGGACCAGGTAATCAGGCTAAGGAAAGAAGGAGGAGAGACAACAAGAAATGACCGTGAAGTATGTGAGGAACTCAACAAGAGATTCAAAGAAGTGTTCACAGAGGAGACAGAAGGGGCTCCAGAAAGACGGAGGGGTGGGGCACACCACCAAGTGCTGGACACAGTACACACAACCGAGGAAGAAGTAAAGAGGCTTCTGAGTGAGCTAGATACCTCAAAGGCAATGGGGCCGGATAACATCTCTCCATGGGTCCTGAGAGAGGGAGCAGAGGCGCTATGTGTACCCCTAACAATAATATTCAATACATCTACTGAAACAGGGAGATTGCCTGAGGCATGGAAGACAGCAAATGTAATCCCAATCTTTAAAAAAGGAGACAGACATGAAGCACTAAACTACGGACCAGTGTCACTGACATGTATAGTATGCAAAGTCATGGAGAAGATTATCAGGAGAAGAGTGATGGAACACCTAGAAAGGAATGATCTCATCAACAGCAGCCAACATGGTTTCAGGGACGGGAAATCCTGTGTCACAAACCTACTGGAGTTCTATGACATGGTGACAGCAGTAAGACAAGAGAGAGAGAGAGGGTGGGTGGATTGCATTTTCTTGGACTGCAAGAAGGCATTTGACACAGTTCCACACAAGAGATTAGTGCAAAAACTGGAGGACCAAGCAGGGATAACAGGGAAGGCACTACAATGGATCAGGGAATACTTGACAGGAAGACAGCAGCGAGTCATGGTACGTGGCGAGGTGTCAGAGTGGGCACCTGTGACCAACGGGGTCCCACAGGGGTCAGTCCTAGGACCAGTGCTGTTTCTGGTATTTGTGAACGACATGACGGATGGGATAGACTCCGAGGTGTCCCTGTTTGCAGATGACGTGAAGTTGATGAGAAGAATTCATTCGATCGACGACCAGACAGAACTACAAAGGGATCTGGACAGGCTGCAGACCTGGTCCAGCAATTGGCTCCTGGAGTTCAACCCCACCAAGTGCAAAGTCATGAAGATTGGGGAAGGAAAAAGAAGACCGCAGACGGAGTACAGTCTAGGGGGCCAGAGACTACAAACCTCACTCAAGGAAAAAGTTCTTGGGGTGAGTATAACACCAGGCACATCTCCTGAAGCGCACATCAACCAAATAACTGCTGCAGCATATGGGCGCCTAGCAAACCTCAGAACAGCATTCCGACATCTTAATAAGGAATCGTTCAGGACCCTGTACACCGTATACGTGAGGCCCATATTGGAGTATGCGGCACCAGTTTGGAACCCACACCTAGCCAAGCACGTAAAGAAACTAGAGAAAGTGCAAAGGTTTGCAACAAGACTAGTCCCAGAGCTTAGAGGTATGCCCTACGAGGAGAGGTTAAGGGAAATCAACCTGACGACACTGGAGGACAGGAGAGGTAGGGAAGACATGATAACGACATGCAAAATACTGAGAGGAATTGACAAGGTAGACAAAGACAGGATGTTCCAGAGATTGGACACAGCAACAAGGGGACACAGTTGGAAGTTGAAGACACAGATGAATCACAGGGATGTTAGGAAGTATTTCTTCAGCCACAGAGCAGTCAGGAAGTGGAATAGTTTGGGAAGCGATGTAGTGGAGGCAGGATCCATACATAGCTTTAAGCAGAGGTATGATAAAGCTTACGGTTCAGAGAGAGTGACCTAGTAGCGACCAGTGAAGAGGCGGGGCCAGGAGCTCGGACTCGACCCCTGCAACATCAACTAGGTGAGTACAACTAGGTGAGCACACACACACACACACAGGAAGTGGAATAGTCTAGCAAATGGAGCAGTGGAGGCAGGAACCATACATGATGAATCATATATGATGAAGCTCATGGAGCAGGGAGAGAGATGACCTAGTAGCACTCAGTGAAGAGGCGGGGCCAGGAGCTGAGTTTCGACCCCTGCAACCACAATTAGATGAGTACAATTAGGTGAGTACTACAAACACATTTTGCAGGCACACAGTGCTCTGATCCGTGATGGTGCTCCTTCCTTATCAACTACCTGAGATACAGCTTGACTGTAAGCTTTATAATTTGCATAATGTGACACACTACGAAGATCTTAGAATTGAGGTTGGTCATACAGAACTACCTACAGCAGGTCGGCGTGATGTTGCAGCATAGCTGACTGGAATTTTCATTGATATTGATAAAATATATGTGGGTCATTCAGCCTGTCTGGCTAATCGCCAGAGAGGGACGTCATCAGATGTGTATCAGCGAATAACGTGGTGGTCAGGCTCGAGTACTGACACCAGCAACATATCCTGGGATGACCTGGCACTGGTAACACAGGCAGAGAGTGCCAGCTGGTCCCGAGAATGCCAACTGGATCTGAGAGTGTCAGCTGGACCCACAAGAACCGCTGCGGCACCATCTGTGTTCCTGGATCTATAACTGGCCACTATAAGCCCTATAACTGTCTTACCCGTCTTCCCCTTCCTTCCTCTCTGGCTGCTGGAAGATCTATAACTCTCTTACCCCAGTCTTCTGCACTGTGAGATGCATAGCTCCCTTCCCCTGTTAATGCCGCTGCCGACAGCCCTGATACAAGACAACGACCTCCTTCACCGCCCACACCAGCCTCTCACCGTAGTGCAGACGGGGCCACGGTACACATTGTTTTGCCTGACTTACTGCGTGAGGTATCAGTCTTCGACAGTGGTGATGGAGGGAGAAATCAAGGAAGCAGACTGGGCAGAAGGAGACTGGTAAAGGGGGGGTTAATTCGAGAGAAAGACGTGAAACTGTAAAGCAGCAGAAAGGAAAAATTCTGGAAGAGAGAGAGAGAGAAAGAAAGAGAGAGAGAGAGAGAGAGAGAGAGAGAGAGAAGAGAGAGAGAAGAGGGGGAGAAGGGGGGGAGACTCTTGCAAAGATCGAGGCTTGGCAGAGGAGAGGTGTTCAAGAGGTGAAGTGTGGCGAAAGAGGCTGGAAGAGGTGGAGGGCTGGTGGGGGGGGGGCAGAAAGAAGCCCAAGGATGGAAGGAGAAGGAAGATGGAGAAAGAAGGGAGGCAGGAAGAAGCTGGAGGTTGATGGCTGGAGGAGGAAGAAGGGCAGGGAGGGATCAGAAGGACTACGGGAAATGTGGGATCTTGTTATGTGGTTGGGTCCCAACCTGTTGTGATTTATGTGGCCGAAAAGCGAAAAGGAATAGCACTAGGAGGATGGATGTAGGAATAGACAGAGATAAAAAGAGGAATGAGCGAAAATTAGTAGTAGTAATAATAATAATAATAATAATAATAATATTATTATTATTATTATTATTGTTATTATTATTATTATTATTATTATTATTATTATTATTATTATTACTGAAGTCGACATACACACACACATACACCCCCCAAACACACACACACACACACACACACACACACACACACACACACACACACACACACACACACACACACACACACACACACACACACACTCACATACACACACACACACACACACCAGGCTCCAACATTCACCTTTAACCTGCACACTACGTCCCTCAACCTCAATATTCAACTTTAATTTTGCGAGCCTCTGGTGGGTAAATCGAGCCTCTAGTACCACACATATTCCTCTTTTTCTAGCATATTTTTAGAAAGAAAGTAACCCTTTAAGGGTGTATCTGAAACAGTTCTCCAAAATCACAAGCAAAAAAAGTAATTATTGTTATTATTATTATTAATTATTATTATTTATTTTGGTTTGTGAAGTTGCAACATCTAGTGGACAGCTTCCTTATATTCATCCTACACCAGTCTAGCATGTCCAACACCTGTCTTGTATGTCCAGACTCCTGTCTTTTGCGTCCAGACACCCGTCTTGCTTGTTCAACACCTGTCTAGTATGTACAACACCTGTTGTGTATGTCTAAACACCCATCTTTCATGTCCAAACACCTGTCTTGTATGTCCAACACCTGTTTTGTGCATGATCACATGTGGGTTTATCTATCTTCAGCTAGTATTTTCACAGCTGG